AGCTGAATTTTTAGAATCATTACTCCTGTCACATGATCCTTTTCTGATTTGCTGCTCAAAAAACACTTATTATAATAATTACTATTATTATGTTGAAAACAGCAGAGTAGATTTTTTTCAGGTTTCTTTAATGAATAGAAAGTTCAAAAGAACAGCATTTATCTGAAATATAATTTTTTTATAACATTATAAATGTCTTTATCAGATAAATGCTGATCTTTGGATCTTTCTATTCATCAAAGAATCCTGAAAAAAAAATGTACTCAACTGTTTTTTTATCACATGGTGATAATAATAATAATAATAAAAGAAATTATTGAACAGCAAATCAGCATATTAGAATGATTTCTGAAGGATCATGTGACACTGAAGAATGGAGTAATGATGCTGAAAATTTAGCTTTGATCACAGGAATAAATTTCATTTTAAAATATATTCAAATAGAAAGCAGTTATCTTAAATAATAAAAAATATTACTACTTTTGCTGTCTTTTGGATCAACTAAATGCAGGGTTGGTGAGCAGAAGAGAATTCTTTAAAAAACATTACAAATGTTACTGTTCAAAAACTTTTTTTTTTTAGGCAGCTATATATTTTCATGTTTTAAAATCCATTTATATTGTGTGAGAAAGATAGAAAGTGTGATTATAAAAACAACTAAATTAAATGTTTCCAAAATGTTATTTTATATTGTCAAATTCTGCAAAAAATAAAAATTTAAAATAATAATAATAAAAATCAGGTATTCTGTTTAGTTTAGTTACTACAGAATGTGCATTTCTTACAAATAGTCTGGATGCATCATGTTCATGTGAGAGCCTTGAAAGTGAACACTAAATGCAGTGAGCAGAGTACCCTTTAACTACAAGAACACATAATGCGCTCTCGACATTTGTCATTAAAATAACGCCATAGAGATTTGATTTGATCCTCACACAGCGGCACATGGTGTGACCCATCAAATATAATTATAACAAATAAATTAATAATAGTTATAATATTATTGCACTTTATTTTTTTTAATAAAATAATAAACTAAATAATAACGTGTGATAATACTATTTTATTTTAAAATAAAAAGGGAGTATTAAATACAAATACAATTATTTTATAGTAAACTTTAAAATAAAATGCTAATATTTTTATTATTTTAATCTGAACCTTAACTATTATTTTTAATTTGAATTATTTTAATTTTTAAACTTAAAATCAGCAAGCTTTTATTATGGCGGGTTGCTGGTGCGGCAAGTAAGTATATGCGCTTCCGGGTTTAGCGCTGCCGATTGTAGAGCGTCAGTGAATGAAATGTCACAGTTTTGCATTGTGCTTTGAAAATGTTAGCGGGTAGCCTATATTTATGCTTTCAGTTTGAATAGAAAGCTTATACAGTATAGTTTGTCGATCTAAAATGGTAATTGTGCATTAACAGCTGTCAACCATGTCGGAACCAAGCGGCAACCTCCCACACTCTCTCGTGAAGCCAACAAGGAAGTGACTTAAACTGTAATTCGTCAACTGGATGCTAGACGCTGGCTGCAAAAGGGAGTCAATCCCATAGACTCCCCATGTTAAAATGCCCAACTTTACAGCAGAAAAAAACGTTTACAGCCTAGTTCAAAAAATGATTTTGGTCTATATAGCTAATTTTGCCCTTCATGACAACTGTGAGGGGAATTAATTTTTTTATAACTCATCCGTTTAAATTATATTAAGTCTTAAAGTTCTGCATAATTAAGGGCGTGGCCACTTGAGTGACAGGTGCGCTGCTGTCACCACCGTCGAGCTAGGTGTGCGTGGTTTCAGCAACCAGCTCCCGCCTCTTTGCCCATCTTCGATTATCCGGGAGTGACGCGCTGCCAAGATGGCGACGGCCGCCTCCGCCCACTTTTGAGCTTCAAAAACTATCTTCGGAACACTACGGGTGACGTCACGGACACTACATCCATGTTTTTATAGTCTATGGTCGGTACGCAAAAGCACGCTCTGAACTAATTTACACAGCACATTTCTTATTTTGGTCGCGCATGCGGACCTGCGGACCACTTATGTGCACCCCTGTTTATACTGATGAAAACAAATGGAGAATAGCATTTATGAAACAGTTACATTAATGAAGCAATATACTGATTAGTCTTTACTGATTTGTAAAGAACAGCTTAATGGATGTAATCTCAGTGAATTCTGTTTGTCTTGTTAGTCGACCTCTGCTGCTCATAATGATATGTGTGTGTGTGTATTAGTGCATTAGTTTAATTAAACAATTTACAAAAAAACAATAATTTTAAATATATATATTTTTTGTCTCCCAAAGTATTTCGATCTGATTCTGCAGTTTGAAAACCCCAGATGACAGTATGCAGATGTCGTTAATCTTTTTTTTAGAAAGACACCTACTTGTTTTGGCTTTCCGTGTTAAAACCGCGTCAAAATCAGAGGTGTCAATCTCCCAGGCGAGCACAGGCTTGTTGCTGGATGACACAACCTCCATATCACAGTTCCCATCTGAAGACACACTTTTCCCCCCTGAGTGACTCTGGGAAGGGGTTGTAGCGCTGGTCTTGACTAATGCTGTGGTGTCTGCATTGGTCGGTGGCGCATCTTCAGATGTGATAATGGGTCGGGCTCGGTTGAGCAGCGCATAGTCCGAGCAGACAGTGTAGAACTTCTCTCGGGAGTGTGTTACAGGGCAGGTCCATGGAAGCTGGAGCTCTGCGCTGGAGGCCCGTCGTACCCGCAGCGCATCACACGTCATCGGACTCAGGAAGCTGCGCTCACGCTCATCCTCTCTGGCCGGGGCCCGTGATGGGGCCTCCTGATCAGTCCTAGCAGATACCTTGGCGCCTTCACTTTCCACAGTGTTAGGCATTGAACGGAGAACTGGGATGATGGTTAAGAGAATAACCTACAGATGTGCTCCAGCTGTGACGTACGTGATCCAAGAAGAGAGCTCAAAGAAGGAATCTCATCCACTGACTACAATTAAGAACATGACAAACAGACAGATACTAAGAAACTGAATATAAGAAGAAATGTATAATATATAAAATGAATAAATAATAAATAAAAGCAATAATACTAAGGTTTTTCTGTCATACATTTTTCAGGAGTTTTTGTTAAAGGGGTCATATGATGCGATTTCAAGTTTTCCTTTCTCTTTGGAGTGTTACAAGCTCTTGGTGACAATCAGCTTGAAACACTCCAAAGAGAAAGGAAAACTTGAAATCGCATCATATGACCCCTTTAAAATAGCATCATATGACCCCTTTAAATAAAAAGAGCATTTATTTGAAATAGAAATTTGTCTGTACTGTCATTTTTTATTTTGTTTTTATGCATCCTTGACCTCAATAGTAATTTAAAAATAAATAAACAAACAAACCTCGATTTTTTTATATTTTATTTATTTATTTGAAATCAAACATATTTGAATTAATTTCTGAGACATGTGCATCAGTAATTTTTTTAGGGTTATGCCAAGTGCAGAAATACACCCATCACAGTCATGAGGATCTCTGATTCATGGTTTTCTTGTCACAAGATTACAAAACTGATTCCTGCATGTTGGCTATGCCACACAGATCCCTAAATATGAATAATATTTTAAGATTGCTTTGAATTTGAGCCTGTTTCATGGATCTAACATCTAACATAACCACTTCTGGGTAGTAACTGATTACATGTAATCTGGATTATGTAATCAGATTCCAAAAATTAAGTACTTGTAATTAGAGTATACTACATTTTAAAATGCTCATACAGTTACTTTTTTATGGATTACACGATTACATATTATTTTTCCTCATTTAAATGTTCCTTTCTAAAAATGCTACCGTGTGACATTCCATTTAGCTTTGATTATATTCTCAAAGACATACAGAAATAAATATTTCAAGGAATATATTTTCTCTGTTTGCTTTTTATGTCAATATGGTACATTTGATGGTAAGCTTAAAACAAGTTTGATAAAAAGTAATCTAAAAAGTAGTCAAAATACATGACCTAAAACAAGGAGTAACCGTTACTAGTTTTCACAATGTAATCTGTAATCAGTAACAGACTACAATTTGTAAGTAATCTACCCAGCTGAACATAACTACATCCATTCATGTGAACAAAAACAAATACCTGCAATAATAAAAGTATGGTGGATTTTTGTGAACTAAGGTGTGGTATGAGACTGTTTACCATATGTCACTATGATATATATATATATAGTGCTAAACTAGGCCAGAGACTGCTATAGATGAAATGTTGGATGAAAATAATGGGCCAGTCACAGCTGACACTGACAGCAGCTTTCAACTATGTTTCGTCGTTTAAACAGATGAAAGCATGGTACCACATGGTTGAATTCCTCCTACATCGTCATCATCGTCGTCAACACTACCATTGTTTAGGTCATTCTTCTTCGATGACGGTCGGCAGGCAAGGCAACAATACATTTCAGGACTAGATTACAAGATAAACCGCCGCAATATAAGTTTAAACCACCGAAGACACCGTATAAATACCGCAGACATATGAATAGCTAAGCAGGATCAGTGTAGCCATCAATAGGCTCTTCGAAAGAACATGAAACGTCATTTCAGGACGCAAATATTTATCCATATTTACTTAATCATCATTAAAATAATGCAAAAAGAGTAAATCTGCACCTACCTGGCCAATTCTGCAGGAATAAATTAATTATACTGCGCTGCGCGACCTCTCTGTTGGACTGCCTCAACGGGCTCTACCAATCTCAAACATAGGGGTGTTGTACGACATAATAAATGGAAATGTTTCTTACATCAGATTTAAACGGTTTAAATAACAGTCTAACACAATAATATTAATATTTTAAGAATGTCTGTATAAAACATTTAATGTTATGGCAGATAGTTGTGTAAATGTAGATAGTCTGTTTAATAGTTCCACCTCCGTTGGTAAAATCTTTCAGAGGAAGTAGAGCGTGGTTGTCTTAAAAGTGGACTGAACTGCTTGCCAATGAATGAACTGAACTGAAGCAGGTGCAAGACCGGGGTAGGTGAGCAACAGTAAAGCGAGTTTATGAAGTATGACTGAAAACTGAAGGGATTCCACGATGAAACGATTTATTGAAAATGTTTTCCTCGTTAAACGTACAAAGGCATATGCATTAGCATTTTAAGATTTAACCTGCAGAAAGTGACCTGATTAAAAGTTTGGATAGATGGATAGATAGATAGATAGATAGATAGCAACTGTAATAATAAAGAAAATATATTAGAAAATACATTTCATGGTCATTTATACTGTGTTGTTATATCATGGTCATTTATACTGTTGTCTGTTATTTTTTTTATACACATCATGAAAATCTTTTACTTATATAACGTCAAATTTCATGTTAACTTGATTACACATTGCTTTACAGAAAGCTTATGACCTACTTTCTATGTCTCACCTTAAGAACAAATGGTGCAATCAAGTACTGAGTTGGTTACAAATTAACTAGGTACTTATCTCCATAGTTAACATCCCAGTTGTATATGATTAAGTGCCCTTACCAGACCGATGTTTCCAGAATCTAACCAGCATGGCTCAGAAGCTGCTGATAATCGACACAGACTGTGGCATAGATGATGCTCTGGCTATCATAGTTGCTCTGGCAGCTCCTGGTGTGAAGGTGTTGGGCATCACCTGCTGCTTTGGGAACACTGATGTGGATAATGTGTGTCAGAATGTGATGTGGGTTCTGACAGTCTGTCAACAAACCCAGGTCAGTGCAATTATAACAGTACCAATACAACTGTCATGACCTAATATGATATGACTGTTAAGATTGCATTGTTTGACCTCAGATTCCAGTTTTTAAAGGGTCTGCTGGTCCTCTAATCGGACCTGTGACAGGATTTAAAGATCACTTTGGCACAGATGGACTTGGAGATGTTCTGGAGAACTCTGAGATTTGGAAAGGGCAGATTCAGAAAGAGCATGCACTTCATGCTTTAATAAGACTGGTAAATGAAAACCAGGGAGAGGTAAGCAATAATTATTTAATAACTGTTTATTTCTAGAATACTGATTTAAAAAGTTTAATAAAAAGAAATATTAAAGAACCCTTTAAGCAAAGGTAACATTTTGTGTCAACATATGCATCATTTTGCTTGCTTTAAGTTAATTAAGTCTTAGTTCATATGTTCTCAATTAAAGCTCAATTTTGAGGCACTATGGACTCACTTTTTTCCAAGGTTTTATTTTATTTTGCCGCGTAGTGTTTAGGAACATTACATAAAGACATCCTAGTACCCTCATAGCAACAAGATGAGCTGAAAACGAAACAAAACATCAGCTGAAATCATATTAATTTATTATTTTAATTAATTCCCTTAATAATTGGCATTTTTATTTAATAATTAGGGTTCTAAAATCTGGTAGAAATTAATAAAATAAATGGAAAAACCCTGTAATCACAAACAACATTGTTAATATATTGTAAACCATGAAGAATGTTTAGTTCTTGAAACTTCTGGAATTATGAAACATAATATTTTTTAATGAAAATTATTTGTTAATTTAGTGTATTGCCACTCCTAGTTTGTTAATGTAAAAAAAAAGTTTGAAATTGAGCAGCATTGACATTCCTGCAAAAGTGTCAGAAATATCTTAAAGGGCATTCAAACTTTTGACAATGGGGCATCCCTTGGAGTCAAAAAGGGTGAGAACCACTGGGTTAGAGTGTTTCCTGCTG